GGTTTCTCTGAATCATCTGACCGTTTCCCGTCAAAATATCTCAAGCCCTATCTGCGAAGTCTTATTTGCTGTGGTGAAGGCTGCCCTTCCAGCTTAGTAGCTGGCGTCCTCCGTGCTGTCAAGTCCTTGCTCCTCTGATTTTTTTTTTAATTTCACCGGTCACTAGACAGCGAGGCAAGTTTTGTGTATTCGTTGTGTGTGCGCTGTTACCTTTTTAACCACCCTGCCAATTGCATGGGACTTCTGAAGTAACTCAGATGCATTGTATAACGTATAGCAGGTTTTTCCAGTTTTCATAAGTGGCAATTCACGAAGCTTCTCATTATAAATACATATAAAGCTCTTTTTCTCAAAAAATACAACTTGTACAGAGTAATTTTTACCTAGTGAATGTGGGAAGAGGTAGTGTGTGAAATGTACGTTTACATTTGGAAGTTCAGTATTTCCTTTTTTGTATCTTTCTTTTTTTTTTCCTCCTTTCCTTTTTTTTCTATTTGACTTATTTCAGTATTTTTAAAAGTATCTTTGCAAATAGTATTTACATGCATTTAACAATGTTTTAATATTAAATATTATTTTAGCTATATGTGTGGTACCAATGGAGTATGGTATGTGGTCTTGCTCTAAAAGTGCTGCTGATGAAGAGTTGCTTGCAAATTTACAGTCATTACAGAATCAGCTGAGGAGAACTGAAAAAAACCTACAAACTGTAGAGGAAGAGCTTTTCAGGTATGAGTGTGTTCGGGAATGAGAACAGCCTGTCTCTTGTAGTGTAATTCTGTCTTATTTAGTGTAATGGGTTATTGCACGTAGCTCCTTTTGTGCTTTTCTTTTGAATAGTCTTTATGAGCAATTAAAAAATAATAGAGAAAAAATAGTGTAGCAACTTTTTACTCTCCCTCCTAGCACTCGTACAAGTGAGCGTTATGGTCACTGCTTCGATGAGGCTATAGACTTCACTCTGGAGGACCTTGTTCAGCCTAATTGCAACTATCAAGGCTTTTCGAACTGTAAGAAGAATGCTGTTAAAACATCTTTCCAGGATTTTAAAAAAAAATCAAAAGTAGGTGTTGCACTTTGTTACTTACTTTTATTACTTTTGTTTTCTATCCTTTGTTACGTTTATGAATTTATTTGGGGTGGGTTTTTTTGCTTTTAGAGCTTGGAGTTGATATCCTCTAGAATTGGGCGATTATATCACAGAGCACTCTTAAACATAATATGATTTAAATGCCTTTGTTCTGCAGAGTTTTCATTGAGGTATATATTGCTTACATATGCATATATAAGTGTGTGTGTATATATTTATAAAAAAATTTTTTTTTATGTCTAGTCTTACTCAGTATCCCCAACTTCTGATAAAACTGTGGAAGAAAACAAACGTCTTGAGGAGAAGCTGGATGCCCTTCAAGAGCAAAATGCATCTTTGGCTTCTCAGAACCATTACCTAAAGAGCAGAGTGGAAACAATGAACTTTGAGTTGATGCAGTCAAAAACAAGAGTATGTATCTTTAGTGTATTCATCTAAAAAACAAACCACCACCACCAAACCAAAAACCAAACAAACCCCAAACCCAAAAATCTGCCCCAGTGACTATGACTTTTGAGTCTGTAATTCCAAGGTGAACATGCTATTTTTTTGGTCTTGTCTTAATCTATCTAAATTTAATATTTAAAATTTAAAGTTTAACATTGTATTTTTTTCATAATATTCAGCATTAATCTTGGAACAGAATAGTTTGGAATCTATTTCTCCATGAGCAAAACAACTATATTAATTATGAATTCTATCTATTCATGTTTCCAAGTTTAATCTAAAGCCAGTAAGTCACCGAATGAAGAATACATTACATAAGAAAATAGTTCCATAATGTATTTAGTAGTGTACATTCATGTGTCTGAATTGATGTGAATAATAATGGCACAGTAGTCATTTGTCTTGGAAATGAAAAATGTTGACCTTTCAGGTTGGATTAATACTGCTATTTTGAAAAAGTGAAGGTGAGTTAGAAGGAAATACTGTCTCTAATAAATCATTACTGATCTAATATACATTTGTGTGTACAGTTTTTTTCAGGACAGCTATATTCTTGGTTTATGTGTAATATTAATAAAACATAGCTATGATTAATGCTTTTGTTTGAGAAATGTTATCTCCAAGACAGTACAAATAAGTATATAAACAAAACATTTGACTGTCTGGCATGGAAAGAGCAAATACCGTGATATAAACTTTTGGGGAAAAGCAAGAGACAAGATCAACATACAAAGAAATCAGTCTGCTAGACAACATATCACACTGGAATGGTGCTAGGGAACTGGCAGGATGTTAAATGAGCAGAAAATTGGAGGTCAGTTTGTGTAGATGAGCAAGCACCTGCTACAGTAAGGTTAAGAGCACTGTGTCATTCAGTAAGCGGATTGTTCTTGTGCATCTCACCTGAAGGTATATGTGCATGTCTTAATGAAACCCCAAATATGTTTGTATTTCAGGTTTCTTATCTTGAATCAACTTTAGGTATGCATTTAGTCAGCATTCCGAAGTTAAAAGAACAAATTGTAAACTTGGAAGCAGAAGTTTCAGCTCAAGATAAAATTCTGAGGTAATAAGTGTACTCTTAAATCAACATTTTATTGTGGTCTGCTTGCTAGTCCAATCTCTTTTTCAGGGTGACATAATTACTGATACTCTGTGGGTCATGTAATCTGGGGCTTGAAACTTTCATTTCGGAGCCATATATAAGAGAGGGGAGGTGTTTTATTTTGTACTGATATCTTATATGTGGGGAATGTACTTCAAGAAATGGAGAAAAAAATAATAAAAACTGGTAAAAGAAATCATTTTATAATGTATGCTAAAGGTGAATGTGCCCTTATAACTCACTAGAGTGATTGTATTCTACATGACTGCGTATCTTCTGTAGTAAACAAGCATACGTGTTTTCAAACATGACTGTACAGCATGTAGCATAAAGGATCCTTTCTTCGTGAATGTATTAGTCAAGGCAAATGGCCAATAAAGCTAATGTAAATAGTGTCCGGAGGCTGTCAGGAAGACATACCTGGTGGTCAGTTTATCTTACAACCTCGTGCTATGTAATATTCAGTTAATACCTCAGTAGTCTGTCTTCACAAAACAAGTTAAAATACTTCTATTTAAATGATATTTTAGCATTGTTTCCCACATGTGTATACTGACCAGTCATACCTATTGACAGAAAAATGGTGATTTCTATGTTCAGATCTCATGACACAAAGTCAGCCATCTGAGTCCTTGGCAATCATGACACCTGATGCCTATTGATGAGGTTTGGACACGACTCCAGACTGCAGACATACTGCTGGAGACCATGGGTGTTCCAAACGTTGTTTTGAGAGTTGCAGCACGTTTGACTAGCACTTCTCAAACATTATATGCTGAAAAGAACAAAAATCCAGTTTCTTTACAAAAAAGTTCCTATGTTTTAATTATGCTTTGTTTATTTGCTAGAGATGCAGAAGATAAACTAGATCAAAACCAGAAAACAGGAATGGAAAGAGAAAACATGTTGCAAAGATATAAAAAGGACTATAAAAATCTGAAAATCGAATTAATTGAACAAAGCAAGCAAGGAAAGAGGTAGCTAAGTAATTTTTATAAATTGAATACACAATAATAGCGCATAAGTGTTTATTTCCATTGGTTTACTTTGTGGAATCAAATTATTTCTCTGCTTTCTGGATATTACTTTTTAAAAATGGGGAAATTCTGTGTGAAGATAATTGTAATTTAAATAGGCACTTTTTAAATCTTGAAATTTGCTGGTAGTTGCAGGCTGATTATCGTATGCTAGTAACTAGTTTATCACCTGCTTTTTCCCTTCTAGAATAGATCTACTACAGCGTAGAGCTGAAATGTGTCCAGAATATAGTTTTCCTGAATTACTTTATACTTTGTCTTGCAAGAACCTACAGCGTATGCTCAGTACTCAGTATTCAACAGTACTGAGTGCTGTATTTTGGAGGTTGGTGTGAGGAAAGTGATAGAAGCACAGCTTAATCAAGAGAACACTTTTATGTTATCCTTGATCTTACATGTCTGTATGGTACTGTTGAAAAGGGTGCTGTAATTCCATCCCAATCCCTATTTCCCTTTCCTGTTGCCTCCTTTAGTCTAGTGGTTGTGTGGCTACTGGGAGAGTTAGGTAATTTCTTTCAACTGTTGGAAGTTACCATATACAATCCTATCACCTCCAAAATGTAATTTTAAGGAAACAAGAGGAATAAATAAAAAGATTCCTACCTGCCCAGTTCAGTTAACTCTATTACCTGGGGCAAAAATTAACTGAATTAATGACTTAGGAAAGCATTTCTTGAGCCTTTTTTCAATGCAAACCCCTTGTTTAGCTTGTCTATTTACCCATGAAATTACTTCTAACCTTCCTATTGCTAGTCAAATGGAAATACTGTGGGGTGTGGTGAAGAAGTGTGTTGATTTATGTTCATTGTTCATTCAGAGCATGTGAGGTTGGAACTTGCTGTACTTAGTTACTAGTTGCAAATGTAAATATTTTGTTACTTTAGGAAAAACTGAGCTTCTGCCAGGTGTTAAAGGCAACATACGGTGTTACGGTTAGTATTAACAATTATTACAGCTTGCTTTTAATCAGTAATTACAGCCAGTTACTATTCTTTGGCTAAGCAAACTGAAGCGCTTTAGACTAACGCTATTTTGTTTGTTATTCTGAAATCCCTTTATCCCCTTCTCTGAATACTTTTGCCATCTCCAAATGGGCAGTAGTCCTTAGACTAAGAAACAGCGATCTGAGGGTAGGCTGCACTTAGATGAGGCACTTGCCCCATCCCCACAGTTCCCTTAGTGGAAGAGAAACAAATGTTATTGAGCAGCGGTAATTCTTGTGTACTTGTGTTGGGTGTCCTGAACAGCCGCATGCCTGAGCTGTCCCGAGGTTACCATTCCAACTTCTTCCCTAGTGAGTAACGATAGGGGAAAAGAAGAAAGGGGCAGGGGCACAGAGTAATAGAGCGAAATAGTAGGCAGCCTGAGTTGCTGCTTTGAACAGTTGCTCACGTGATATCATCCCAGTCTCAGCTTCATTTACTATTGATGCCATCTCTCCAGTATCCTCCAAATAATTTATCCTTTGATCAGTTCCTGTCAGTCACACCATAATTCCATCACGAGAGCTCTCTTCAGTATCAAAATCTTTTCTAGTTTCCCCTAAGCAGTTTAAATTTTAAGGAGCACTGCTATTTTCTGCTTCCTTATCATGTGTGCTGTCCCAGTCCCTAAACCAGGCTTTTACTGATAGGGACAGGAGGATGATTTGAATCAAACTTTTCCTGAAGGGGAATCAAAAGTGTTTATTTTTACATTCTTAGCCTTATTGGAATTTTGTTTATGTTAATATGCAATGCAAAAATGGTATTTAAAATTAATTTATGCCTCGTGGAAACTTCTTTTATCTAGGGCTTGGAAAGTTGGAAGAAGAAAGGAATTTACCTGGAGCAATTAATTTAGTAGTTGTTTTGTAACTACCTCCTGGTTACTAAAAACAACTGAAATTTGTGATTTTTAAAATCGGTGTGCTTCTTTGCAGAGCAGAACAGCAAAGAAATGAAGCTTTATTGAATGCAGAGGAACTGACAAGAGCTTTCAAAAAGTATAAAGAGAAAATAACTGAAAAATTAGAAAAGGTAAGAGTTTTTTCTTCACTTGTTTTTGCCATGCTATTAGGATTTTCCTTCTTCCAAGAAGCTAGGCAGGAAACAGCAACAGGTTCAGCAATGGGTCAATTGTTTCTGCTTGTTGGTGGCAAAGTCTTAAGAGAGGTGGGACAGGGTAAGCAACTGTTTGTGATAACTTCAGTTATCCAGTTTTAAACTGTCTTTGCACAGTCTGGACAGTCAGCATCTTTGAGGTATCCTAATACTGCTGCTGTTACTTCTGTCTCTTGCTTGCCAGCTGGGAATTTTACATTTTAAAAGTATACGATCCTTTTAAAAGAACTCTTTTGACTCCATCTGTATAACTTGTTCAATTAAATATGAGCTAGAGAAGAGCTAAGATGAAAATTAAGTTATCTTCCAAAGTTCTAGTGGTCAAAATTGTAAATGCTTCCTGCCTGTGGGAGGAGAAAATACAGGCCTGAGACACATCTTATGAAGAATTTTTATTTGAATAGACTTCTTTCCTTGTGGTATGAGATTGCCAGCCACCAATATGTGTTAAAATATTAAATCAAAATAATGTTACTTTTTCCTCTAAATGACAGAAAAAAAGAAAACTTCTTTGCCCCTCTCCTTTTCTTCCCAACAGTAAACAATAGAATTATCTACAGGCTTACCAGAAAGAAAAAAAGAAACAGCCTAGTATTCTTTTAAAAAAGCCTGTTGGCCATGGAAGCTTAGATTTTTGTTGTACAGTAGTAACAAAAACAATTGCTTTTTAAGGTTAAAGCTGAAGAAGTAGTCTTGAGAAAACATTTAATTAATTGTGAAAAAGAAAAAGAGAAGTTGAATGAAAAGTGTGTCAGCTACAGAAAGGATCTAGACATCCTAGAACAGCAACTAAGGTAATGCAAAGGCTTTTAAAAATCTCTGTACAGTTATTTGAGAAGAAATTGTGTGTCACAACTGTCACTGTGAACATACTGCTCAATTTGTGTAGTTCAGACCAAATAAAGACCAGCATCACTGAACGTTTGGGATCAGTATCAGCAATACAACGGACAGACTATAATATTAAACAGGTGAAAAAATGTTAGCATACACTTACAAATTTGTAAATTATTTTCTAGAACTATCCTTAAAAGTTCTAATCACACACGCAGCCCCATTCTCAGTAACAAGCAACACCCCACCAAGCCTTCTGGGAGTGCAAGTTCCCTTGGTCACGCAGTGCTTCTGTGGGAGTTGTGGGTACTCTGGTTTTATGTATACCTGTTCTGCTACCTGCAGCCTGCTAATGTACGTGCCAATGAGAAAGCACCCTATGAGTTCACTTACACCGCCAGGTGTGAGTCCCTGTTTGGTGCACACCATATTGTCAGTTCCCAGCTAGAATGAAGGATGCTCTTGGCATCTGATAAGGAGGCTGCATTCAGGCCTGAACAGAGGTGGTGATGCTGGCTGCAACTTCTGGAGGTGTGAAACCAGGTTTTGACTGCTACTGTGTTCCCACTCCAAGGTCCTTTCCCACTGTTACAAATTTTATGTTCCTTGTGTGTGTTTCTTTTCAAGCTGAATTCTCCTCTGTTTCAGAAGTCTTTCAGTAATTCCCTCGTTAATTTGAGGGAAGACAAGTGTCAGCTGGTTGTCTTTAGCATTATTAGGTTTGGACAAACACCTTTTCAGACAGTTTTGGATATCCCATTCACATATGCTGTCCACACTCACATTCCTGTCTTAACAATTGTTCTTTAGGCTGTTTTGGCAAGGGTAGGCAGTGTGTGAGCACCCTTACGCTAGCTTAAGCCTGTTCAATAGCTCTCTGCTGCTGATGGTGGTCTTTCCCCCAGACTGCCCTCTTTTCTCTGCTAACTTGCACTGGTTTGGCACCCATCAGGACCTTTGAGCTAATTCAGTTTGCTAAATCAACAGGTACCTAAAAAAGTAAGTAGTTTGTGATGGGTTAAAAAAAACAATTGGCAGAGAGAAGAAATAGGACCCCTCCCTCTCTTGTTAGTAGCAGAATGCTGGACTAGCTCAGTCTTAGGAAATTATCTTCATCTGTTGTGATTTAAGGTATTGTTATATAGTTATTTTATCTTGGTTTTAAATTTTCTTGGCTTCAGTACAGTTCAAGCCACCTTGATCTATTTCCTACCAGTGACTCTCCTAATAGCACTTAATAAAGTTGATTAAGAATGAAAAGTAGTTTGTTGTCTCATTTTGTTTGCTGATAGCAGTTTTCATCTTGGTCCTTAGGAACAGTGAAAGCTTAGTAAAGCAGTGAAGACTTTTCTGTCCTTTGTATAGAGCTAATCCTAGATTTTGAGAGGGAGGAAACTAGTGAAACAGTATAGTTATGGCTTGTTCTTCTAGTACTTTTAATAATGAAAATCCTCTATGTTGAGCTATGCCTTTTAAATGGATATACTTTTTTAGGCAATTAAAGGAAGAAAATCATAGCACAAAAGAAGAAATTAAGACTCTAGAGGCAAAGAACACTGAAATGGTATCAATGCTGACTCGGTCTGATCAGAAGATAATTGAGCTTGAGAGTGAACTTAGTGAAAAAGAAATACTACTTAAAGAGAAAAATGCTCTAAAAAGTGAAAATGCAGAGCTGAGAGCACTTACTGCACAGCAGCATAGCCGCTTGAAATTATGCCATCAAGAAATTGAAGATTCAAGGGAAGAGCTCAACATACTAGAAACCATTATTTCCCAGTTGTCTCTAAGTACGCCTGAAGAGGTACAGTAACTGATACATCCTTAAAAACTGTATTATGTGTCTTAAACAATTCTAGCTGACATGGCATGGAAATCCTTTGATGTTCTTGAGAAATAATCTGAATAAAATATCTGTGGTTTTCAAGATGCATGGATGAGATGTTTTCTTAATTTCAATATTTTACTTTTGCCTTCTCATTCAAGAACAAGGAATAGGTGCTTTGGAATTGATTAATCAGCAAGCATTTAAAATTATACTTTCCATTCCTCTGTTCTGTGTATTGATTCTTCAGATGAACGTATATTCTCTGAAGCATGGTGATATCCTATTATATGATGCAGAAGTGGTTCTCAGTAGAACAGTATGACATTTCCCATATGGGGCACACATTGTGTCACACAGCCAGAGTCGATGTGTCAGCCTCAGCTACGGAGAAATTAGAGCAGGAGAGAGATTTGTAGGAATCTTTTTTTGCTGGGAAAGAGAAGGCACACCATCCCTGGCTGCGAATGAACTTTTGTTTTACCAGGATGCACCCTGGCTTATGAGCCTGAAGATTGTCCTGGGGAAGTGTATCACTAAACTGACTGTGATTGGGAGAGTCATGTAAAAAACCCAAAGTTGTGAACTGACTGAGGTTACTGGAAGAATTGTTTGGGAAGTCAGGAAGGGCTAGAGAGACATATGAGGTCAGGAGTACAGATTGCATCAGATATCTTTATTTCTGAAATATAAATGTGAGTAGCTGTAATGAAAACAAAATCAAAAGTATGCTTTCTGTACAATTTTGGAATTGCCAAAGTGACCTCTGCTGAAGAGAATATGGTAGTTTTGTATAAAAATGATGGTTTGGGCTGTTGTGACCATAGACATTTATTTGGAAGAGCCTTAAAAATTGTTTTAGGGCACTTTTTGGAAAATACATTTACGTTTTCTGGAAAAATCTGGGATTATTCTAGTGATTTAATGAAATATTCAGAAGCCCTCTGTAACTTGAGGAAAAAATGATATTAAATGCAGTCATCAAAATCTGAAAGGAAACATGATGTGAGAAGTTCAGAACATGGAATTACTGATAGTATCTCCATTTATTTAAGTTTTCACAGCAAAAATGTTCATGCTTCAGTACCTGTACAAAGATATCTAAAGGAATGGTCTCAGTTTCAGAGGGCCTTAATGCCTATAATTTCTGCTAATGTGAGATAAACCTGCAGTGCTCTGCAAGCACTTACTTAGGTGAATAGTTTTAATGATCAAGTTATCAAAACTTTTAACATCCTGGCAAATGTGTCTTGAAATTTATGTGCTAGTATAACACATGAATTAATCACACTGTGAAGCAATAAAAAGTCAATTTTGCGTTGATCTTGGTTTTCCCTTAACTTTTAGTCTAAATGGCACCACTTGAAACACCAGCTATCCAGTTCCTCAACAAAAGAAGCGCGCTCTGATTCTTGTTGTGAATCGAATAAACCTTTGATTGCAAACCTAAGGTATAACTTTATGGTTACTGAATTATGGCAAGAATAGGCAGATAATAAGGTAGTATTAGAACTAGCACATAGAAAGTATGTTGAATAATTGTCTCTTCCTTTATAATAGCGTTAAACTGGCAATGAAAGAAGCAGAAACTCAAAAGCCTCATGCAAACTTAACTATCTGTAGTGGAGCTGAGCGTTCTTTTAACAATAATGAAGGACAAGAATATAGCAGGTTGTGTGGCCTGGAAACAGAGCCTGTCAAATTGATCAGAAGGCAAGGAGGTAAGCTTACTGAAATAGCTGTGCAGTTCTGTTTGATTAATCCACAGAATAGGAATTTTTTGGTGGGGTTTAAATTGCTTTTATAGGTTTTTTTAAATATATCTCTGAGCTAACAGATATGGCTTGATTGAACAGGGAGCATTTTACCACCTTGGAATTTTGGAAATTGTCATGTTCTCGAGGCACAATATTCTTCCTTTTGCTAGTTAAATTATTTGTTCAGCAATATCCAAAGTTGTGTTGAAATAGAACCATGTATTTTTTTTCTTCATGCAGGTTATACTAAGTTCTCCGTATTTTCTTTGATCCTTTTCTCTATATCCTGCTGTTGCAGAATTTCTGCAATCACTTCTGCAATTACTATGAGGACTGCTCCATGAAATTATTTCAGGGCACCTATATAATGATGCTGTCTTCAATTTTGTTTGTTTGGGGTTTTTTTGTTTGTTTTTTTTTTTCATGAGTCACAGCTTTCAGTTGCATATCGGAGCGGGGGGGAATAAACAGTCTTGTTTCTGAATACTGTATATGTTAGTTCAATATGCTGTCATTAAACTACATTTCTCCTCTCTTTGGAGAGGATTATGATTTGTATGATTATTTGCTTGAGTGCTGGTTTGTATGTTCTTTTACAAATTATTTTTAATATTTTGAGAGAGGAGAAAATGCCAACAGTTGCAACATATCAGCAAACAATTTGAAAAGGAGAGGCAAAGATTCCAGAAAGAGATAGAAGAATTACGCACTAAACTGACAAAAGCAGATGATGAGAATTCTTCTTTGAAGACCAGCATGGCTCAGAGAGCCAGTCAGTTTCAAATCATACAAGAAGACCTGTTGAAGAAGGCTTCAAAAACTAGTAGTTTAGAGAGAGAAGTAAGTTTTTAGCAGCACTGAAAAAATGTCATTTTTGTTTAGTTCAGTAATCAAAGATAGTTAAGACAATACTTATGGAAAAACTGCAGTTGCCATATAAATTTTAAAATCTGACTTACTTAAGCAAAACTGGAAATAAACTTTTGAGCAAGCAGAAAAACTTAGAGAGCAGCCTTATTTGTCAGTTGTCAGAAATCTCATTTTAAAACTGATGTAGTTAGTGGACTTCACTGCTACTATTTTGATTTTTTGTGTGGAAAATATGCACAGTTTTTTTGCTTTGGTATGGTTGAATTAAAGTGTAATCATGAGAAATAGATGTTGAAGGAACAGTTGCATTTTTTCTGATTAAATGTTAGTATAGTTGCCAGAGTTTAACATTATTACCAGAGAGTCACAAAAGAAAGACATTAAGCTTCAGCTAGCTCTTTTCTAGTTGAATAAGTTAAAATGCTAATGTTTACATTTTGGTGCTAATGTGTTTGTAGAATTCCAGCATAATAGAATTTCGAGTATTTCCTAATAACGGCCATAGATGTTCTAAATCTGTAATAGCTAATTCACTCATATGGCACTGATAATTATCATGAATTGGATAAATTTGAGGTAAATTGTCCTGAATTCTTCTCTGTAAGTAATAAATTTTAATAGGTCATACAAAAATAAACAAACAAATAATTAATTAAAAGTACTAGGAAATAGTAGCTAAAATGGAATTGGTGGTAAGAAAGTATATGCAAATACTTGAATAAATACAAAACAGTTGTCTTCATGCTGTTTTGTGCCATATTTAATTTCAGATAACAAAGAAATCTTCTCAACTTTCTGCATTTGAGAAACAGTTGGAAGAAAAGACTATTGCTTATTCCGCTGCTGTAGCAAGAAATACTGAGTTGGAACAGGAACTCATGGTAAAATGTTCTCAGTAAGAAATTACATTTATGTAAAAAGACATAAATGGAGATTAAAGTTTAAGTTAAAACAGTATTATTCCACATATTCAAAATGAATAGACTTTTATATCTGCTAAACAATCTGTGCATTTTTTAGACAGTGCAGTTTTTAAAAACTGAATCTGGCTTCAAATAAAACATTAGTTTTTTTGTGCCGTTGAACATGGTAAGTTAGTAATGAACATGTTACTTTTTCCTCGTGACCATAGTGCAATGAAAATCTGGTCCTATTGTAATCAATTGTAGCACTGCCATTTTTTTCAGTGAAATACATGTAGACCTGTGAATAAAAAAGTCTTCTCAATGGTAGTAAGTGAAGAAGGTGATCGAACAGTTGGAGCACTGTAAATTCCAGTCTGGGTATTGTTATACAGACTTTTTTAGTTTTGAGAAGGGGGACAGGATTACTAGAAAAGGAGACTATTTGTGTGGTCCCTTTCAAATGGAAACCCATATCTTAAAGATTCCATCTATCCATGTGAACATAAAGTTTCTTTCTGTTTTTGTCAGAAGTTCCTTGCTCCAGTTGCTATAATCTGTGCCAGCGGTCCACCTTGGCACACACCTCATTTCTGTGTACTGGCTGCGTTTAGTGGCATTCTATACCTGTGTTATAGGTGTGACATGCTTTGAGATGAAACATGCTGTGTATAACTTCAGTATTTTCTGTGTTGTTCTTTTAGGAAATCTAGGAACTTGATCGTCAAATAAAACACTATTTAATATCACAGCTAAATAATTTTATTAAGTCTTTTTTGTTGTTGCTGTTTGCCAGGGAAAAAACAGACGCATTTATGAGTTAGAAACAACTATCAGCAAAGAACATGAGCAAATAACTTCTGCTTTTGAAAAAGCAAAGTTGGTTCAGCTTGAGCAACACAAAGAGATGGAGAAACAGATTGAACTAGTAAGACCTTCCTTGTGTGCTAGTATGTATAGCAATATGCTTGGTAACTTTTTTCTTATGTTAATTTCTTTGTCTTTTTAGTAATTCTAAGGCAGATGTCTAATTAAAAAGTTGTATCTTCTCCCTACATTTGTTGATTTTTTTTTTTTTTTAGTTCATTTTCCATCTAACACTATGCAACCTCATAATTTCCCTCTGAGATATTCATATCCTCTTTTCGGCTCAATTGAAGACAGATAGGGACTTAGGAAGAATACTGTTGGGTCTTTGCTCCAAACACATGGGAGAAAAAAAAAATTAGCTTTTTTGCCTGCTGGGGTTAAACCATGACAGCTTCTAACAATATTCTCTCATTTGCTGAACCTCTGCCAGCCTGAGCCTTATGAGCATCTGTATTCAGGGAGAACTGTTGGTAGGTTTTTCAGTCTTTGGAGAAGAATTCTGTTGCTTCATGTGATTAGAAATATAACCATGGCTATTTCTAGCTGTTCAAGGAGCTTGTCATCTTTTACTGAAGAATGTATGCATGTCTTACTATCTTGGCTGATGACAATTACACTCTGCCTGCCCTCATTCTCTTGATTCTCCTGTTGCTTTAAAATATTAAGCATTTGGGATTTCTTGATATTTTTAAGACTCTGCAATACTGCTTATGACAGGAACGTTTTTACTTTTCATTTTTAAAGTGATAGGTGAATAGAACTGAATGACATATTTAGAGGCACAAATTCTCTGAAAAAGCTTATTAAAATAATAAACCATGACTTACTTATGGACAGCTTCAGACACAGCTGGAGAAGAAACTTCAACAATTGACTGAACAAGAGAAAATCATATCTATTTTGGAACAAGATATTAGACATAAACAGCATCACATTGAATCATTGGATGGGCTGCTGATAGAAAGCAGAGAGGTAAGTTTGGCTCGTGACTTTCTTTAAATGCAAATCAAACAAGTGACCAATAAAGATGAAAAGCATATCCATAAACATAAGGAAAAATTGGAGAAAATAATACACTTATGTTTTTGCTTCTTAATTCTTGTTTGAGTAATTGACTGAATCTAGTGTAGTCCCCAGCTGCTGCTACTACTATGTATTGTACAAACTTTAATGACCTTTCATTATTTTGTATCTTTTTTTTTTCTCTGGTTTTCCCCCCTGGGCTTCTTGCTCTAATCAAAGGAAAGAGATCTGGATAAAGTACAATTACATCTATTCTGCTGTAGGTGGAAACCCAAGAATCTTCTATTATGGCAATGTTTTATTCCTTTTAATAATTCCTGTTGCTGCAGAATATGAAGGGACGCCTGCCAGGAACAAAATTCACTTCAGAGTATGATGTACACAAGTACAGTATATAAGCAATTGTGTTCTAAATATATGGATCTATTTTTTTTTTCCTGATTCTTAGTATAAGTTTTTATTAGTTAAATTACTGTTACTACATTTACATTTTGTCCTCTTGAATAAAAATATGTGTACAAACAGGAAGTGGAAAATCAAAATGTCAAGAAAGATCAAGGATTGAAGATGCTGAAAAGTCAGTTAACAGAAGAAACAATCAAAGTTAGTGAGCTCTTTGTAATTTTCAATTAATAGTTTTAAAGTTTGCAGTAATGGTGTATTTTCTTTTATCCTCTGTAGAAAAGCTATATTAAGGCTGCTTTATAGAAATTTGTCTCATGCAAATATTTCAGAAGTCATTAACCTGAAGTCTTTCCTTTTTTTTTTTTTGTTTTTGTGTTTTGTTTTTTTGTTTGTTTGTTCTTGGGTTTTTTTCTGATTTTTTTTTTTATTAAAAGTAGTATGGTGAAACGTGCAGTAAGATTATGCAATGTGTAATTGCTTTATAAAATTACTGTAGTTACAAACAGGGCAGATTTGTGCTCGTTGTACCCTTAAAGTAAAATGTTGTCTAACAAAGATAACGTTAGGCAGGTTTTTGCTCTAGATACAACATTTATTTTAGACATATGTGATATATTATAATATTGGTCGTGTTTTTAGCCATCTGTGCCTCTTCCTAGTGTTCACCTGAGAAATATGTTCCATGCAGCACTTGCAACAGTATTTTAATAAACCGTTGCCATGTGGTGATTTACCACAGCCAGGTTTCAAACAGTATTAAATCTTCAGGATATCACTAGGAGAAGATACTGGGGACTTATCTGGTAGCATGCTCTTTCTGAACTTGAGTTGGACGAGTTTTCTATCCAAGTGGCTTTGTCGTATTTGGGATATTTTTCACAGATTTAAAATTAAGACCCATTATCACTTCTCTTCAAAAAACTCATGACTCAGGTGGGGAGAGAGGTCTACAATCCAATATGGTTTGGAAAACTGGTAGCATTGAAAGCATTAGCCAATCTGCAGCTAAATTCAGCACAATTCTCATTTATGAGAATAGTCTTTTTAGCATTGAAACCAAACAGTTAAGAAAAGTTTAATTACTATGGCTTAAGACCTCTGGGGGTTTGTTCATTATAACTTATCTGTCTGAGGTTAAATTTGCTAGAGATTACTCAAATCCAAATTAATAGTAAAAGGGTAAAATAGATTAACAATGTTGACATTGCTGAAAGCTTTTCCATTCCCTTTTGGTAGAACTCAGGCACTGTCTCTCAGTGTAGAAAGGAAAAAAAAAAAGCTATTTAGTAGCTTTCTGAGAGGAATTGTATTAAGAACTGAATGTTTTTTTTGAAAAAGACTAATCACAACTCGCGTATGATCATTCAGAATTTATTTATATAATTCTGTATGTTATAAAATGTGGTGGATTAATGATTTGGTATTGGGCATATGTTTGCTTTTAAATTCTAGCTACTAACAAATACTGGAATATCTTCTCATAATTGATAGTCTCATCTGCTTTAAACACAATCTAAAATATTGTAATTTAATTTCACAAATAATTTAAATTTCTGGATACTATTTCAGTTTTAAAGTTTTTCGTAATGTTCCATGCCTGTTTTAATACTCTTTAGATAAAAATGTAGCTCTTCAGGCATTTTACAGAAAGATGATTTTTAACAGCTTTTTTAGACTAGTTAATAAAAACCATGCCGTGCAATTTAAAGTAATCTGTTACATTCAACTAGGTGAGACAACTTGAGTCAGCACTAGATGTATGTAAGGAAGAAGTTACACTGTATTTGAGTCAGTCACAAGAAAACAAGGAGATATTTGAAAATCAGCTAAAAAAAAGATCTGAAGAGGTAACAGTTTGTTTTAATAACTCTTCTGTATTGCAGAGAACACTTGTTATGAATGATTTAATCTAAAAGTTTGAGAAATAAGAGACAAAGCATTTGCAGCAGGAGCTGTGAATAGGAAGTAAGCTGGGAAAAGACTATATATTCTGTGAGGGTAAAGGGGAAAATCATAACTGAGAAACATTGGATAAGCTTAGAGAAAAGAAGTACAAAGATAAAGGAATTGTTGAAAGAAGTAACAAAATCAGAATTAAGTGAAAAAGCATTATCTTGGAAAAAAAAATAGGAGAGTGCCCTATTGCAATATAAACTTAGGGGCACGTAATTGATTTGTGTTTCAGGTATCTTAACAGGGAAGAAGTCTTGGGCATAAGAAAATTTTTACTTCAAGCCCCTGAGTTTTATCATACTTTCCACTACTACATGAAAAGAAGAAAGAATTAAGTTTAAATATTATTAGTGTGAATTTTTATTTGTGGGGATGCCTAACCCCATGAACTAATTATCATACTAGGCTGTTCATGTCATTGCTGTCCTACCTGCTGAGAGAGAGGCTTTAGTCAACTGGAGATTACTAGACCTTGTGCAGGAGTAACTGGATGGAAATCTATGGTCTGTGTGACATATAAGCGTGTGATATTTACTGCTGTTTTTTAAGCCCTAAAATCTGTTGTTACACTGCATACGAAGAGACTGGATGCTGTGTGAAACTTGAGGGTAGCATGTGAGGCTTTGTACTTGTGACTAATATTTTCGTAAGTATCAGAGTCACTATTTCCACTTTGGGGTGAGCAGTTAGTGATATTCCCCCCCCGCCCCTTTTTTTTTAAAAGCATTTGTTTTGCTTTGTTTTCCAGAAAATTCTTGGCATTCATCACTGAGAAATCAGACCATTCAACATGTAACAAGTTAGGCACTCAATATTCCTGTTTTTTATTGGAATGACTATTGTTGTAGAGGCAGGAAGAAATAAAGGGGACGATTGAGAACAAAATCTTGAGGGGAAATCAAGGACTTTCTATGAAATAAAGAAGAGTGACAGAAGGGAAAAGTAGTTCAGTAATTTAGAAATGAAAAATGTTTGTGTTATAGGTTTTTAAAATATGGACTAATTTAGGTATATTTAGAAAGCAAGAAGTCAAAAATTGGGGCTGATAAGTTACTACTTTCCTCACTTTATAAAGCACAACTCGGTGATGAATTATGAGGTGTGTTATGTACTGTTGAAACTGTAATGCAACTAAATTCAGAGCCAAAGTTTTACTGAATCATAGGTGTGATTCTGTGCTCATTAAGATTGAAAAGAATAGCTGATGCAAGTGCAAATAAAAATGTTTTATTGTAATGGAAAATAAATGTGTTTTCAGGTTTGTTATTTACAGAAAGAAATAAAGCTAAAAGATCAGAATATTCAGGACATAAGTGAACAAAATATTCTCCTACAACAAACTTTGCATCATCAGCAGCAAATGTTAGAGCAAGAAACAATTAGAAATGAGGAGCTGGAAGATAATCAAATTAAACTTGAAAAACAGGTACAGTATGGTGAGAAGTGTCTACCTAAAGACAGATAATTAAATGCTTTTATGTATGTTTTTGTAATACCTTTAAAATCTGAAAGTTTCTTTGATAACTGAGTTGATAGTTGTTTTAGATATATCTAAAATAAAGAGTTTAGTGGTTTGTTTTGTCTTAAACAAGGTTCTGTGCTATCAGAAACTCTAACTAGCATTAGAGTGGCTAAACACTTGGAAAATCATACCCTAGACTACAATTCAGGAGAGGTGTATTGAAATTCAGAAAGTTGAGTCTTGTTATATTTACTAGAAACTATTTGCCTTTCAAATGTGACTGCAAAGTTCTAGTTTTAAATTATATACAATTTTAGACTATAAAGAAATCCGTTGTGTAAAACTTGCTTTGTGAGTTGCAAGATAAGGATGTGTATTTCTTGTGTATGTATTTTAAAAGTATCAACGCTTTTTAATACCATTTTAAATAGGTATCAAATTTGGAACAAGAGCTTCAGAAGCAGAAAGCATATGCAGAAGACGAGTTGAGAAAGGCAGAGGAGAAACTTTGCCTAGCTGCTCAGGAAGCAGATTTAAACAGACAGAAGGTGGATGAACTTAATAGTACAATCAGGTAGGTTCAGAATAACTGAGAGGTATATTCTGCAGATAGACATATCAGTAAGAAAGATTGCTGTCTGAAATGGTATTCAGTTATGTAGTCATACAGTTCAGTCTCTGTATGAGCATAGACTGGAAATCAGAAGGGAGATTCCTAATTAGCAGAGGCACTGAGTTTCTGGAACAGTCTTCCAATGGAATTAACGCATGTCCCGGCAACCTATTTAGCCTTACGATGGGACTACATAATGCAATTCAATTCAGAAGTATATGAAGTTGTTCGTAATTCTAGATAGTAGATTCTAGGAGAGCTTGGTAGTCTTAAAAGAATATGGTTTTGATTGTGAGAAAAGCCTACTCAACGTGACTCTTTTTATTCCTATTTTATTCACTAATGCTTGTTGTCTTAGAGCGTGTAAGGACATACATATGTTGCTTTTGTTATTTCAAGGTTCATTTTGTTCTGGTTGCTTCTTCTATTTAGGCAAATTAAATTGGAGATGGATCAGTGCAAGAATGAACTTACTGGTATGGAAAAAGAAGTAGTGCAATTAAAACAAGATAGTGAAAACAAAGCAATGCAGATAAAGCAGTTGGATATTACTTTGGAAGAAGCACGATCAGAGCTCAATGAAAAGGCAAGCGAAGGTAACTTCTCTATTTTGTTTCTCAGGCTTCCTTTCATCATGCTATTTCTCTGTATGTATTAGATTAGACATTTTCCTTTTCCCCCTGTTTTATAATCATAGAATGGTTTGGTTGGAAGCGACCTTAAAGATCCTCTAGTTCCAAGCCCCCTGCAATGGGCAGGGACCCCTTCCACTAGACCAGGTTGCTCAAAGCCCCATCCAGCCTGGCCTTGAACACTTCCAGGGATGGGGCATCCCCAAGTGCTCTGGGCAACCTCTGCCAGTGCCTCACCACTCTCACTGTGAAGAATTTCTTCTTTATATCTAATCCAAATCTTCCCTCTTGCAGTTGAAAGCCATTGCTCCTTGTCCTGTCACTACATGCCCTTGTAAAAAGTCCCTCCCCAGCTTTCTTGTAGGCCCCTTTTAAGTACTGGAAGGCTGCTATAAGATCTCCCTGGAGCCTTCCCTTCTCCACGCTGAACAACCCGAACTTTCTCAGCCTGTTTTCATAGGAGAGGTGCTCCAGCTGTCTGATCTTCTTCATTTCCATCCTCTGGACTTGCTCCAACAGATCCATGTCCTTCTGGTGTTGTGGGCTCCAGAGCTGAACGCAGTACTCCAGGTAGAGTCTCACGAGAGCAGAGTAGAGGGGGAGAATCCCCTCCCTCAACCTGCTGGTCATGCTTCTTTTGATGCAGCCCAGCATATGGTTGGCTTTCTGGGCTGCAGGCGCACAGTGCTGGGTTACGTTGAGCTTCTTGTCAATCAACACCCCCAAGTCTTTCTCCTCAGGGCTGCTCTCAATCCATTCTCCACCCAGCCTGTATTTGCGCTTGAGATTGCCCCAACCCATGTGCAGGACCTTGCACTTGGCCTTACTGAACTTCATGAGGTTCTCATGGGCCCACCTCTCAAGCCTGTCCAGGTCCCTCTGGATGGCATCCCTTCCCTCACACAGCTTGGTGTCGTCAGTAAACTTGCTGAGAATGCACTCAATCCCACTGTCTGTGTCACTGACAAAGAGGTTAAACAGCGCCAGTCCCAATACGCCAGGAACGCCACTCATCACTGGTCTCCACTTGGACATCAAGCCATTGATTGCAACTCTTTGAGTGTGACCATCCAGCCAATTCCTTATTCACCAAGTGGTCCATCCATCAAATCCATGTCTCTCCAATTTATAGACAAGGATGTCATGCAGGACGGTGTCAAATGCTTTGCACAAGTCCAGGTAGATGACATCAGTTGCTTTTCCCTTGTCCACCAACACTGAAAGCCCATTGTAGAAGATCACCAAATTTGTCAAGCACAATTTGCCCTTAGTTGAAGCCATGTTGGCTGTCACAAATCACCTTATTTTCTATGTGCCTTAGCATAGTTTCTAGGAGGATCTGCTTCATGATCTTGCCGGGCACAGAGGTGAGACTGACTGGCCTGTAGTTCCCCAGGTCTTCCTTTTTTCCCTTTTTAAAAATGGGGGTTATGTTTCCCCTTTTCCATCCAGGCAGCAGGAACTTCACTGGAGGGCCACGACTTCTCAAATATGACGAATAGCAGCTTAGCCACTTCATCTGCCAGTCCACTCAGGACTCACGGATGCACCTCATCAGGTTCCATGGGCTTGTGCACCTTCAGGTTGCTTAAATGGTCTCAAACCTGAACTTCTCCCCCAGTGGG